CCTTGGGTTCACCAAAATCCATTGTACCCCCTCAAATTTAAAATTTAGGGACTGTTAGCCCCCTAATTGTGTTTTTCTTTGTTTTGTTTTGTACAAATTAGATCTTTTTATTTTAGAAAATTTTCCGTTCCCTTCTTCTTCCGTTGCCTAAAACCAATCTTACCTCTGTGGATCTCTCTATAAATTTAGACATGAAAAAAAAAAAAAAATTTCTTTAAAATTATGACCTATTTTACAATTATATCAATATCGTTTGAACTTGAAAATGATTAATCAAGCTATTTGTTACTATTTTTAATGGTTATTATTATTTATTTATTAAAAAACTTTATCAAAATACTTATAAGCGATGAAATATTTAACAATTAATATATTATTGTTGTTGTTATTGTTATTATTATAGTTATTAATTAATTATAATAATTATAAAAATTATAAATTATTATTATCAATAAAATTTATATATCAAGTCACAAAAAAAATATGGATGACTAACGTATGGGTTTGGCATTTTGTAAAACAAATAGATCAAATTTGTAAAAAGAAAAAAGAAAAAGATAATTAGGGGGCTAATGGTCCTAAAGTTTAAAACTTGAGGGGGTGCAAGGGATTTTGGTTAACCCTAGGGGTTAATAGGAATGAAAATTTCAAAGAGGGGGTTAGAGGTCATTTTCCCAAAAATAAAAATAAAAATTAATTTAGAGTCTATTGCATAAGCAAATGGTCAACATAAGAAAATAACGAAATCCAATCATAGATTCTCTATTACTTATTGAAGAGTTTATACGAAATTAAAGAGGCATTTTGTGTTAAAAAAAAAATGTAATGTATGAATATCTTATGTAATTTATTTAATTCCAATCAATCTCTACACCTTCCTATTTTGAAAATAATCATCCTTATTTTATAGAACATTCTATTTCAATTTCAAATCACCTAGATGGCTTCATGGACAAAGCCACACTATTCACAAAATAGGTAAGAGTGGGGCGCCCCGCTTATGCATGACACAAGCTGGCCTGACACCCCACATAAGTGGGCCTTCACAATCTAAATTAATTTTTAGAAAACCATAAATATTTTATTTTTCTCTCTGGATATTTAAGTACCTAAAAATTCAATTTTAGCTAATTTAAGAAATTGATTTTGATAAAATAAAATATCAAGAGCCTTTTAAGAATTCATATTAATATTCTAAAAATTATTTAACACAATTAATTATTTTAAAATAATTTGATGGGAATCAAGTTCAACTTCGTTGACGTTAACAAAAATGCGAATATACTGAGGCACTCCATCTCTACTAGTGATTATGTCCCACATTCACTTTCTCAAATTGACTCAGTAGTTCCCATGACTCACAGTCCCTCATAAGGGTTCATAATTGGACTACCAAAGCCAGCCAATAAGTGATCGCAACACAATTTTAGTCTCTGGACTATAGGTTCTACCTTAGAGACAAGCCTAGGTCACACAGACCTGTGCATGCTCATCGCAATTAATGTATGGGAATATACTTCCTAGTACGACAATCATAGGTACATGCCGTGTGATGGTCATGATGAGGATTTAGCTCTTGTCCCTTTAGGCCTACCAATCACACCAGGGTCAGTAAGTCCCTTGGTCAACTATCCTGAGCATCTCTCCAACCTCATCAATGGCTAACCCTCGGTTGTGCTTTATGCCTGGTCTCATAGGGTTTTAGAACTCAACTCGGCCTAGTTCGTAAAGCCTAGTTTGAGTCTTGGCATCAATATTGCCAACATCGACCCCTCTGGACCATGATCCTTTGGTCCCTCTGGAACGTACATACTCCCATTGGAGTAGTGTTCAAAAAATGCAGATTCGACCGCCTAGGCGTGCGTTTTGGGTGCCTGGCCACCTAGGCACCCTCTAAGATAGAGTGCCCTCACAAAAATTGAAATCCCCTCAAGAAAAATAAAAAAACAAGGAGTTCTTCGGGCATGGTTTTAAGCCTTAGGGAGGTTTTAGGGAAATTTTAGAGCCCCAAACTCCTCGTGAAATAGACAAAAATGTAATAGTACAATCACACGAGATTTACGGATACAAGTCTCAAAGAGATTGTAACTTGTAAAAAATAAAAACCCTCTTTCAATTATGATAGTACTTTAAAAATAGCAAAATCAAATTGATGTCGGTGCAAACCTCGTCTATTAGATTGCCAAATGTCCTCAAAATCAACTACTAGAAGCTCAATTCCACCCACAAACTATTGCCTTTGTTTTGGGAAGAAATTGAAAAAATAAAAAAGTTATCAATCTTTCGATAAATCTCGAAAGAGCGGTTTTTGGGGAGTTTTTCTCACCCTAAAAGCCACGGTTTTGGTTTCGAGCGTTTAGAATGCCCCCCCAATACCCTTTTCCCCCCTTTTTAGAGGGGCGGCGGGGGGGAGGGAGAATGACTGTTTTTAACCCTCAACGAGACCCATTCCGTGTTTTCTCAACCTGTCACGAGGCGGCCCCTAGACTGTAGCGCTTAGACGGCGCCTAGGCAGGTGCCCAGACGCAAGACCCATAATGATCCGGCCAAGCAAGCGCTTAGTCGTTTTTAAAATATTTCCGCCTAAGAGGTCGGGCAGGCGAATTTTCGAACACTGCAATGGAGTTATCATATCACTATGGTCATAGTTTTTCATGCTCTCGTAAGGCCTTTAAATGACCACATAACCCCACCAGAGTGATGAATGGCAAGGATCAAGTCCTCTCTAATGTCAATGCCCAAGATTAATCTACTGTACAAGCTTATAAATAGTAATCCTATTCACCGATTTGAGAGTGTCTAATTAATCCATAGAGTGGCATGCCCCCCCTTAGGGCTCTCCCTCTCTTCATATAGAGATTGAGAAAATAAAGTGTAGAGTGTGTGATCTAAGTAGAAGAAAGTGGGATTGAAGCTCCATTAAAGATTCATTTCAAGCTTTGAGGACAAACCCTAGCTCCATGGTGACTAATTTTGGAGAATTCTTCAGCAAGCCATGCATATATGGAGTTTATGGTGGCTATAACTCTTTATTTATAGCACGACATCATAGCCCTTACCTTCTTATTTCATGGGATATTTGGTTCAAATTGATCCTAGGGTTTGGGCCTTTAATTCCTAGTTCTTTGATCACAATTTGGAGAGATTATGATTGAGTTTTCTTGAGAATTTTCTGACTGATTTTTCTGCAACTTTTGGATCCAAAATAGTCATTTAATTCACCTAAAATTACGGTGCAACTATGCCAAAAATTCCTCCCACCTATATTACATATTTCATCACCAAATTGTGAGTACACATTTTTCTCCCATGATTTTCATCAAATTTCATGAGCTACTTCTCTGCGGAAAAGTGCCAGAGTGTAGTTAATATGGTGCTTAAAAGATTCCCATAAAATGATGTGAAATGTTCTTGGTGCTGTACGAGTACTCTTTCCATAGTATGCAACAAAGTCCTTAGCGGTATATTTGGCACAAGGAGCTCGATATTTGGCTTCCCATGATCAAGATCTTGTAAGCGCTTGTGTATCTTTGTGTTTGTATGTGGGGATTGAGTTTTATGGAGTGTATGTAATTTGGAATTGATGTTTAATTATATTTGTATGGTGCTGAATTTAATAGCACTTGAGTTTTATGTTGACTATACTCAATCTCCTTGTGTAGTTTTGGTTGGACTTTGTTTAGATACATAAATAGAGGTGTAATACTTGGATTTTAAAGGGTATGGATGTCCAAAATGTGGTTGTAATTCATGTGTAAGTGGCTGTAATTGAAGTTCATGTGAGTATATGTGATGCAATTGAGTTTTAATTTGAGATTGTGAAGTCCATTGTGAGTGAGATTTTTTTAGTCTTTTAACGTGGATTTGATTCCATAGGCTATCATGGAGATGGGGAGAAAAATATGGGAGGGGTCTTTTGTTAATTCTTATACACAATCCCATGTTTTCAGCTTTCAATAAGAAACCAATTCATAGAAAGTATAACATCACCTTACCCTTTTCTGGATTTGGGTTAGATATCCTCTTTTTAGGGTTACAGGATAATCTTGACACCGTTCTTCCAATTAATATATATATCGTCTCCCACGGTGTATAGTGAAGTTGTCATACTGTCCATTGGCGACTCAATAGTATATGGTTTGCATCCCTAGGAAGTACATCATACTAAATAGACTCTTCATAGGTCTTTCTAATAATAAAATTTTGCATGCAATTGGTTAACAGGGGTCTCGCTAACTCGCTTTCAAGCAGAGATCCTATATGGTTGAGGATTTTTTTGCACTTTGGCTTGAGTTTGTCCACTATCTCGTGTGACACCATGTAGCTCCCACTATTGATGATAATGGCATACACACACCTTATCCCACTATTGATGATAATGGCATACACCTTCCCCTATGCTGTAAATCTAGGTGTAAGATGTTTCTTCAGAGCCACGGTCTTCCACTGCCTTTGGAACAGATAATAAGTTGCCTAATTAAAAGCAACTCCCCTTCATTTGAATATAATTCTACACTAGTCCCTTCTGGTGCATCATCGAACTCATCATAAATAGGCCCCGTCTCAACATCCCTTTAACAGTTCTGATCTGTCTCACAAAGATGTGTTCCAGCTTGCTCCTGGGACACTCAAAATAGTGATGTCCTGTTTCGCTGCCCTTAAAGCGCCTAGCACCTTCGTCGCGAATTTGACTAGCACTTGGGTATATTTTCACATGTAATTGACCTTAGTCTGACTTCAGCCCATTGAGCTCTGCTCATGAAAATCCACCTTGTCTTCATGATAAGAACTAATCATACCCATCGATAAGGGCCATCTATTGCCACTTCAAGCTCATGAATCATTGATTTTTACTTTGATTACTTAGTTATATGCTGACGTTGGAAGAAATGGTAAGCTCTTATCGTTCTCTTTTATAATGTACTTTTGGTTTATATCAAGTTTGTAGGTTTGATCTTCTAATTATGAACATTGATGCGTGCTATTTGTGATCTCCACAGCGTGAATCCTTGAAGAAACAACTAGAAAAAGTGAAGTGTCAGAAGGAAAAGTTGGAATCCCTTTGTCGCTCCTTGCAAGTTGACAGAAAAAGGCAAATGCTTGAGAATAACTCTGAACCGGGTTCTCATGAACCTTTCTGTGGAAAGGATGAACCCTGAAGGAGTTCGTGTGAAAAATTTGCTTTTTTGAACTACTTGCACATCAGTAAAAATGGGATTTCCAAGCCGGGCATCTGAGAAGAGATTGGGACAAGATCCATAGTTTGCTTTTTGACTTGTTCCGCTTTAGCAGTGTAATCTTTGACTCCTGTGATTCTTGTAAGAAGTATCAGTGGATGTGCTGTAAGTTTCGTGATCACATGGGACAAGAAATTTATTCTTCAATTTTTGTTGTATAAACATTTTTGAGGGGGCATTTGTAAAGACTGAGGAAGCACATGAGTTGATTGGCACTAATTTCATGTCCGTTTCATCAATGACATACTGGGCCGCACATTGTCAATTCATATGTAAAAGTATTTACCTGTTCGTGCTTTTATTTTTTTCTCATGTTTGTTTTGCCATATTTAGAATGCCATACATTGAAATTTTGATAAATCTTATTTGTTTGGAATTCAATTCTACTGTATTACTTCTTGTGGTCATGTGTACTTTGATTGAGCTGAAGAAGATAATGAGAAAAGCTCAAGTCCTGTATCCTCCATGTTACAAAGTTGGTAAATTGGAAACATAAGTGGTGTTTCTATAAATCCATGGGATTTATGATTAAATTTCTGCTAAACGACCATGGTTCTCTGGTGCATTTCCTTTGATGGTTTGCAATGCATTTTTCATGAATTAGAAAGTACTTTCATGATGGTCTTCAAACTGTTCTATTTTGGTTAGTATGCTTGCCTAGGAAACATTGTAAGTGAAATTATTTGTGAAGCATTAAACTATTCACAGAATCTTATGACTGAAGTTGGCCAGGTGTGAGCATGGCATGGCCAATGGCCAAAGTTGTATGGAAGTCCCTTCCAGAGAGAGAGAGTGAGAGAGAGAGTGACAGAGAGAGAGAGAAAGTCAAACCTAGACCCCATTAGTTTGTTGGTTGATTGTGTCTTAATGATAATGAAAATGTGCAGTGGCCTGCTAATATAAAGTCGAGTTTGGAAATTTGTTGATCATCAGTAAGGGAGTTAGAGCACAGTTTCCGTGGAATTGAAGTATTTAATTATGGACACAGTTCCTATGAGTCCTAAGACTCATGTTAGGAATGAATTTATTTTTGAAATGGATTTTGGACCTAATTTTTAAGGAATATATAATGTCTAACATGGAGATCATGAATGTGTAAAAATGAAGACCATTGATTTTAACTTTTTTTGCAGGGACCATCCATTTGCATCCATCTTTAAGATGGATGTTTTATGTTTTTAGGGGACAAATGTAAGAATGTGTTTTTATTTTTAGGTAATTCAGTAGGGATAACGAGTTCCTACCTGTCTTTTGAAATCATTAATGATTTTTTAATGCATTAAGTGAGAATAGAAGTTTAGACTTTAACTGGGGTATATGTGATGCTATCACCACGACCCAACCCCATTTCCAAAGGTAAGAATGTGTCCCCTTATACATGACAGTTTTCCTTTAATTATTTCTCAATGAGTCAGCATCAATAATTGGTTGTGGTTTCAGTTAAAGCACTTATCTTCCGAACCGATCTCATTTGAGAAGTTATCAATCTAAATTTCTTTAGCGTTTAGCACTACACTGCTAATAGCAGAAAAAGGTTTCCATGAATTAAATTGCATGGGAAAAGATGATGCATTCAGATTTTTTCGTAGCTACCAATGTACCAATTGAATTGCCAATGCCTGATTCTTGGTACTACTGTTCATCGAACTTGTGTTTTATAATTTCAGAATAATCATTCAGTAAACAAGTCCATCGTATCTACTGTTCAGTCATAAAATGGATAAGGAGTCTTAGTTATCTCATTGAGGGTTGAGAATGGCTTGGGGCCTTGGCGGTCATATTGCCGAGCTCTATAGTGAGATCTCTGACTCTATTCTCATCAAAGGATAGGAGCTCAAATCTCCACTGACTTACCACCTTTTACTCACCCAAAAAAAACAACTCATTGAGGGTCCTTCCTTGCTCGAGCTTCACAACATGTGAGGCAAATGCGTGCTGTTTTAGGGTTTGAGTAATTGAAATTTGGGACATAGCCAGGACACCATTTTTATTTGGAAAATGTTTTGATAGAGCTGCCCTATCAAAATAAGTAAAGTCTTACCTCAAAACTCATTGAAAATTTCAATTCTAGAGTAAAAAAACCTTCAAATTGATCATTTCAACCTTGACCACTATGATTGTGAAAAAAAATAAAAATTTCAAGCCCTAAAAATAATGTATATTGTAAGACATTTATCTAGACCGTCCATTGCACCCTAAAAATAAGTGTTCATGGATTTGCAAGATCTGTACCATTTTAGAGCTTCAAATTATAGTCGGTGTTAAAAATTGATTTTAGTGCTATCATGGAGATTTCGGATGCCGAAAGCACTTTTTGGACGAGGATTCGAGATGAGGCTTTACTTTATTTTCATTAAGCCTAAGCCTTCTAGAAACTACATCCGTTTTTATTTGCTTTCAACATAAAATGAAGACAATTAGAATTCTAATGTATGTATGTGTGGACCTGATCTATATGTTCGGATTTGATATGAGTGTTGGGACACTACGAATAGAGTTTTTAGTTGGTCATGATCGGAACAGGGTTCGTGGTATTTTGTGCCAGACCATTATTGTGCTGCTCTTGGACCACCATGCAGTCGCCCCAAAATCAAGGCATATAGAATCCTCTCTCTTAGGTACTTTTCCCCGATCATCAGCATTTTCATAAATGGAACAGCATGTTTCCCTGCCATGAATAATGGTAGGCACATTATCTGCTTCAAGGGACTCCTAGCATCCGATTCCATGACAACTGAAAATCATCTGACAATAAAAGGTATAGTTTGGAAGCTCGTTGGGTAATTAAGATTTAGGCTGGTTACCGATCACCTTCAGATATCATACGCACCCATGTTTTGTTGGCCCAAAACAGTTGAACTTTGAGCATTCCATGAACATAATGTATAAAAGGGAAGATAAGCCTGTTGCAAACCAATGGTTAGAAAATAATCTAGAGAGAGAAACTACTATGAGATGCAATACTGTGTTGTAATTTATCCTATGATACTGGAAGGCCTTACATAGATGAAAATCACGTCCCCAAACACCTAGCTCACAAGCTTAAGAGAGAAAAAAAAAATTTTGTACCTATATATAAGTTGCAAATATTTAGAAACAAATTTTCTCTAATATTTCCCCACTTGTTTGAAAATATTTGTAAAACCAACGTACAAAAGTTTTAGCCCTATATATAAGTTGCTTAAGCTGTACATCCTCAAACAAGAAATCCATCCACATATATGATCCATCTACTCAATAACATCAACCACACACATTCACACGTTCATCAATTGTCGTGACGTATTGGGTGATCATCGACCATATCATGAACTTCATCTATATGCTTCTAGATTAATAGACTTTTTCTCTCTCGTTAGTGTCATCTGAAATGCATCGGACACTCACACCGTGAAGACATACATCACCGAAAAGAGTATCTGTCAATCTGAAAAATGAGTAACCATCAATACATTGAATCATGCCATGATCCCCATAAAGATCCTCAAACTGTCCAATCTAGCCATCATAAAGTGGAACATGGTATATGCCAACTAGAGGTCATGCTCAGTGAGTTATGTCAAATACATTTAGTTGAGCCATCACAAAACAGATCACAGAGTCAAAAGACCGCTAGTTGGAGGTCATGTTCAATTTGTCCAGACATCCAAGCTAGCTATCCAAAGTCAAAAGACTACTAGCTAGAGGTCATGCGCAATAAGCCTTGGTAAGTATAACTGCCCAATCTAGTCTCATAATGTGGGTAACATGGTCAAAAGATTGTTAGCTGGCGGTGGTTCGAAACACTTACCCCTCTGAGGGATTTTGCCACATATATGGACCATTAAATGTTCAAAGACATAACCTGATCACCTTCGGAGGGCGCTTGCACATGCCACACATGTCTCATCACCACAAAGGCGGGTATGCTACACAGGCCTCGTCGCCACAAAGGCGGATATGTCACATAGGCAAAGGGTAATCAAATAACATTCCACATGGTCAATAACTACACCACTAAGGTTCATCACAGATGTATCACAAGAAACTTGTGGATCTTAATCCAATGCCCTTACACACCTGTCATGTGTGTTGATGTTGACACCTTTAGTTAAGGGGTTAGCTATTATGAAATATGTGTGGAGATATGTTATTTTTATATCCTTTCATTCTAAATACTCTTTCACAAAATAATATTTTCTATTAATGTGTTTTGCTGTATTGTGATACATAGGATTTAGAAATAGCTATAACAGCTTGGTTGTCACACAAAACAACTGTTGTAGTGCTTTCAAACTTGGCCAATGGTATCCCATTGAGCAATTTTTTTTAATAAATTGCCACATTGGCTACCTCATATAAGGCTACATACTCCGCCTCCATAGTCGATTGTGACATACTCTTTTGTATATGTTTGCCCAATGATATACAATATACATGCTCCTCAATAAGTGAAAAGCCAGCCAAATGTAGATCTGAATTCATTCTCTCTACCAGCCCAATTAGCATCACTATAGCCTTGCAGTTCTAATTTGTCATCTCCATAGCATAGGCTATAATTGGTGGTCTTTCTAAGATATCTAAATATTCTCTTTACAAGCTTTCAATATTCCATGCTTGGGTTACTCATATAATGGCTAGCAAACCTCACTGCATAAGCTATGTCAGAGCGTGTGCAGTTCATCAAATAATTTAATGATCATATTGCTTGTTGTAGATACCCTGATCTCGATTGAGGAAACCATGGCGGACCAAATACCCTCGGCTAGCTACCTCTATACTTGAACCACTCACACCCACCTTAATCCAGCTGCAAACTAGCCTTTACAAGCCCTTAGAACACTTGGGCAGAGCTGAAGGCACTTGAAAAGCGAGATGAGCTAGAACTAGCATCAAGGCAATCAAACTAAATGATGCCACTCCAAATGGCACTAGAGCCACTCCTAGTGGTGACACGAAGGTGAACCCCAAAACAGCAGGAACCAGCAACTAGAATGGAGAGAGGAGGGCTCGACGCCATTCATAGTGGCGTCGGTGCCCCTTGTCAGTATGGAATTACACCTATCGAGACATACTGACGTGTCCCTTATTGTCAGTACGGACTTGTGTGTCGACTTTTGGTGGTTGAGTAAATGTCCACTCAACCGCCGACTGTATGATGCATCAAAGTAGCCATGAGATATCATTACCACTCAGAATGGCATCGGAGGGAGTTCAAGAAATGATGCATCCTGACTCCCCATATGGGCAGCCATTCAGAACACAACACGTGGCATTTTGGCTCATGGAGCATGTCCTAATGGCACTGGCACCATTGCCAGTGGCACCATT